GCCGCCCCAGTGCTCCTCGGGTTAAATCCGTGCTCGGGTCCGTGGGCAGCGCTGAAACGGGCACTTTCCATGGGCACTTTCCGGGGGGGAGGCACTGCTGTTAAAGACAACGCGATTTGCGGAGGGGTATGGACATAACCACTGGGGAGAATCCAGCCCCGGGCCGCTCAAAGGAACCCGCTGGGAGAGGCGAGAGCACGCCTGTGTATGGTTCACAACCTGGAATCTTTATTAATAAAATATTTCCTAGTTTTATCGTCAGTAACAGCAAAGTTTTACCAGTGCAGCTTCCTTTTAACACACAGAAATACAGGACCTCGGCTTTCCAAAGGGGAAAGATACGGCCACCAGAAACATACCTGAAAAATGAGGTGCAAGGGATATGAACTCCTTGTCAAACAATAAATCTTGTGACGTTTTTTGTTTCTTCTCAGCTTAATTTGCACTCTAAAGCTTCCTATCAGGGTACTATGGCAAGCCTCCACCGTGTGTACCTGCTGTGCAATCAAATGCCAAAACATACAACACACCAGTCCATACCTCATCCAAAGTCTTCCATACTAATTATAACTAAACCCGGTGTCAATTCTTCATGTAGCCTCGGCTGTAGACCGTGAAGCCAGCAAAAAACACGTTAGCATAAATTGAAATAAATCTCACAACTGGTCTTGCTAATTTGGGCAAGTGATCTGTACTTGAGAAGCTGCATGTTTGTAGTCCTGGAAAAGTGACTTAAAAAGTGACACTGAAAACCTGATTTATTAAAAAAGAGTAAGGGCAATGAATGCAATTTAATTCTACACAAACGTGGTAAACAAGTTGTGTATACACACAGAGAAATAATGGGGTGAGCTTTGGAAGTCTCATGAAAAACTGCCACTAAATCAGAACTCACACAGCACCGTGAGCGAGAAAACCAGCACCCAATCCCAGCACCGAAGGTGGGAAATGGTCACCCCGTCATGAGCTGTATGACAAGCTTTTGAATGCTGGCATACATACTGTTAAAGTCTTTTCAGCAATAGAGTAACTCACTCGAAGTACACTATTTTTAAAAACATTCTTCCCTCCATAGTTCATTTTACTGACAATTAAACTAATTGAGTTTCATTCAATCGAGTTTAATATGAACTCTTTGTCAAACAATAAATCTTACAATGTTTTTTGTTTCTTTGTAGCTTAATTTGCACTTAAGATGTCACCGTTCACCAGCATCTCCCTTTAGGAGCTTCAGCTCATCTGTCTGGAGGATCTGTGAAAGAAGATCCACAGATTCCACCAGGGCAGAAGCAGCTCCGCTCCCGTGCCACACAGTGCCACGCATCCAGGCCAACGTGCTGTAAAAATCTTATTTGACCTGCAAAGCTCAGGGATCTCTTCAGAGAGAGAACTGAAGTAGAACTGAACCACATATTTACATTAAGGTCCGTGAAAAACGAGCCTGTCAGAGGAGCTTAATAAATACTTTTTTAGTTCATGCTTTTTCATGTTTACTTACCGCGTTAACCGCCACGAATTTGCTTTTTACAGATTCAGGAGTTGACAAATAAAGCAGATTTTTAGTCAAGATCATAAATTACAACGAACAAATTCAACAGTTCATTCCTATTTACTTCTAGTCCACAAATTCCTGCTTTACCAACAAGCTGGCAGTTCTGTCCCTGTTCCAGCACCTCGGATTACTCCTGATGCTCGTGCTCCTGTCCCGGGATCAGCCACCGGATGCTCTCCGTTCGAACGGTGGCGTACACGACAAAGCCAGCCAGGAAGAGCAAAGAGAACAGAAGCAGCCAGTCTATGCCTTTCGTCAGAACGCTGGGCAGGGGACCTTCCCAGTCCTCCTTGGTCACAGCCACGTCGCTTTTAGCTTCTATACCTACAAAAGAAAGCACCAGTCACAACAATTAGATACAGAGAAGCTGGTTGTATTTGGAGCTTTGTTCCTCTTCTTAGACCACGGCGTACGTACAGTTAGATTTACAATTTTGGCAAGACAGTCCTTGTATTTGAATGAACATCTAGCATACAGTTTACTTGTGTAAAAGCGACAGGCTGTCGATGCATACGTGTATTTTCAGAAGAGGAGAAGTTTCATTCTGTCCTTCTACAGCACGGCCTTGGTAAGTCTGTGGGGCTTTTGTTTGTGGAAGCTTGGAGCATTTCTGCTGTACTAGCAAACACAACGATTTCCGGCCTCTAACGAAGGCCCTCGTAGGCCTGGGCATGTTTTTTGGTTTGTTTCTCTTTACAGAAGGACACAAGGAGCTGGTGTTGAGCTCACAACGTGGACAGCCAGATGATGGAAACTGGAATCCTTTTGTCTCCTTCAGCACAAGAACTGAAACCATTTTATCCCCCAGCTGCTGTTGGCCTTACACGGCTCTGCCAATGATCCCAAGGTTCATCTGCCTTTATTCCCAAATCAAGTGTCTGTGCAGGAAGATGTGCTTGATCCCTCTAGCACTCTTCCTAGTGAAACCCCACTGCTTGCCCCACTCTGTGACAGCAGCCCAGTGAGTTGGGTTTCTCCTTTCAGCACACCTTGAAATCCAGCTCACCACTGCAACTGATCATATAAATCTCTGCTGGGTCCCCTCAGGGTCTTCATGAAATTCACTTTAAAGAACACACAACAGGGAGAGGAAAGCCCAGTCTGGAGCTAAAAGCCAGCCTGTCTCTTTCTCCTGACACATCAGATGATGATATACCTACCTGTTTGATTAAAAATGAAGTCTTTCAGCGTTTCCAGTGTTCTGTCTGTATGATTAAATCGAGCCATAGGTTTAGCACCTTGGAAAAGGAGGATATTTGGTACAGCCACAGTTCCAAATCTAGTTGATAAGCTGGTGGACATAAAGCAAATACAAAGTATGAAGGAAAAGATATCCGCTGGAGGGAGAAACAAAGACAGTCAGGACACAGGAAGTGTGGGTTCTACTAAATTACATTGTCACTTTATAAGAAAAAAAAGAAAATCACTCCTGTTTCTAAAACACACAACTTGCTAATGGAAATAAACTGGTACCAGAGCACAGGAAGTGTAAATTACCTGCTATGCTGAGATGCATCCAGTGCCAGGAAACGAAGAGTCGGAAACGCTCGAGGTAAGGAATTAAAATGAGGTGCCAGACTGGCAGAAAAGCGGCACCACGGCGTATAGAACAGCACTAACGTGCAGTCACTGCCATTTGGGTTTAAGAATTCCATCAGGTCCTTCCAGAAAGCAGAATAAGAAGAGATAAGGACATTAAAATAGTTCAAAATATTAATTAATATTTAATAGAATTACTTAAATTCTACATAGGAATTCATCATTCAGCAATCTGAACCAGGTTGCCCAGAGAAGTTATGGCTGCCCCATCCCTGGAAGTGTTCAAGGCCAGGTTGGATGAAGCTTTGGGCAACCTGGTGTAGTGGAGGGTGTCCCTGCCCATGGCAGGGGGGTTGGAACTGGATGATCTTTGAGATCCCTTCCAACCCAGACCAGTCTGTGATTCGGTGAATCAATCACACACCAGACAATATTTATCAACTAACTGCACATCTGTTTAATCTTTTTAAAACAGAGGGAGAAGCGCATTTAAATTTTTTTCAAGGTCGTTTTAAAAGGTTATTACTTATAAATAAATAAATATATACACACATATCCATGACAAGAAGCAAGCTAGAAACAGAAGCAAGCAAACGGAAATACTACTAGTTAGTGCCATTAACGGCTTCCGAGAGACACAAAAATCCACGCAGCACGAAAGCTGACAATTCCCGGGCATGCGGACTGAGCTATATCCCCATTTTTTTCTGCTCAGAACTACAGGGAAATCCTCACTGCCCAGACGTTTCCTCTTTTCGGCAGCACAGAGGGTGTCACACAGGAAGCCGCCAAACTCCGCAGGGAACGGGCACGCCGTGCCGCCTTCCACCGCCCTCCTTACCTGCGACACGTTCAGGATCCGCAGCGCCGAGCGCTCGGTGCCGGTGGCGTTCCCCTCCTCGCAGGTCACTTTGGGAGCTCGGGCGCCGTCGGTGCCGTTCGAGTCCTCGG